CGCAGGCAGCACGAATGCGAATATGACGTTCTTGTCTGTGGATTGCAACTCTGACGATGATGATGATGATTGTAATGGTGATGGTGATGGTGATGGTGATGGTGCTGCTGCTAAGGCTGAGGCTGGGGCTGAGCTGGTGAAAATGTTGCTGCCGGAGTGCATGTACTTGCGAATAATAAATGCAAAGATTTCAGTTACGAGTTTATACGGGTTATGGTGGCAAAAATTCCAATGCTTAGGGAATATCTTTATGTGTTGCTTTTTACGATTATTTTAGTAGCTTTTTAGAATTTTTAATGTTGTCGCAGTTGTAAACTGCAAATAAGCATAAATTGTTGCAAATATGGTGGCAATATGACGGCATCAATGGTTTTGCATAAAATACGTTTCTATTAAAAGAATCAAAAACAAAGAACTACTTGATGCTTTCTTCCATATACTTCATGCTTACTTCTAACTTCTACGGTCACTAAAACTTTATGTGGTTGGTTGCAAATAATAAAATTACAGTAACTTTTTATGAACATATATTGCCTCCACGTGATCATCCAGTGCATTTATTTGCAGCTCAGCTTGTTACCTTTGTAGAACGCAAGACATATCTTCTACATTAGACTTTCAAATTCCGAAATTAGTCGTATTGCTTACCCAGGATGCAAAACAATTAGACACAAAACTACTAAACGGCAAAGTGAAGTATAAGACAGCACCAAAGAAGGCCACTTAAGTATTTATTCTTTAAGAATTTGTATAATTTTTACGTGTGCCTTAATATAGAAGCACATCAAACCAACTATGAGATACTTTGTCAACGTGGAACAGTTGCTTTCGTTTAAAGGCATTAACGTTTGCATACGTGTTCCTGAATTTAGTTGTAACTACCTTAACTAGTCGCTCAGCTAGCTACTTAGTTGGTATCAAGAGAATTCGGTTTGGTATTTATGGGTTGGTGATTTATTATGTTTTGAAATTATAAAACAATTAAAATTAAAAAATAAACTAGAATGCAAATACAGAACTATTAATAATTAAAAATTGGTTAATTTTTTGAATTCCAATAGTATACGTTCTAATTTGGATAAGATAGACAAGAAGAGACTGCTGCCGCGTAGATTCTAACAAAAATGACCTGTGTATTATGGTTATATATAGAATTACTAATAATTAAAAATTGGTTAATTTTTTGAATTCCAATAGTAAACGTTCTAATTTGGATAAGATAGACAAGAAGAGACTGCTGCCGCGTAGATTCTAACAAAAATGACCTGTGTATTATGTTTATATATAGAACTACTAATAATTAAAAATTTGTTGATTTTTTTGAATTTCAAGAGTAAGCGTTCTAATTAGTTAAGATAAGAATAACCTGTATATTATGGTTAGTTCTAAGTAAAGTACATATTACAGATTTGTACTTTTTTAAACTCAGATCTTTATGCAATCAAGATATAAAATTTATCTATAAGACTTTGTCGAATAGTGACAAATCTTCAACTTATATCTTCCGTAGAAGATTGCCATTGCTAAATGATAATGTATGATTATTTATATATAACATAGAAAATTAGAAGCGAAACACAATGGAAAATAGAGAAATTGTTACCAGATCCCTAAGGTCTCACGAGACACTAAACTATTAGGCAACGTTGAGTATCATTATTCTTTAATACAATTTACATTATTTCTAATTTAAAAAACCAATGCTGACTGTGTATTCTAGTATGCGTTCAGAATTGTTCTTAAAATTGCCGAAAAGATGAAATATACATATATTATGTTCGGTGATTTTATTGAGAACTAAGAACTGAAAGTTTTTCGAAAAAAAATTTACAAGACTTATTTATAGTTATAGAGTATTGAAGGCTATTAAAATTCATTAGTAACAAACGATGTTACTAAGCAAGAATGATCAGTAATCTGTGGTAATATAATTAAACACCACTGCTTTAAGTAAATTTTATTCAATCACAAATAGGTCAAAATATTGACTGTCGCGGTGGTACAGAATTTAGTCAATTTCCCTACATATAGTTTTCTACACAATTCGACTACGAAATATTAATACCGTTAAGTGCTTAAAATTTCAATTAAGTTAATTTTTATTTTAAATGTAATTCAATGTGAGCGCTCATCTTGGCACAGAATCTCATCAATCAGAGAAACGCTCTGAGGTGTCAGAGGTGTTAGCATATGCGGCCTGGTAAAAAACGCCTGATCCATTAATTTGAAATTCTTATCAATTTACTACTTTTATGTTTTTATTCTTTCCTTTTGTTTTTGTTTTATTTCGGATTCATTTATTGTCTCTGTCTGCGCATAATTTATGCAAAAGTCTTTTGATGTGTTTCGAATGAGGTAAGCCGTCCAACTGTGGCTCAAAATTCAGCAGCATTTGCATACAAAGTTATTGTGTGAAAATGTAAATTTTGAAGCGTTGAAAATCAATCAGTTCTTGTTTACATAAATTATATTATTTATCTCTTTAATTTCGTTTATAACTGTTTGGATACTTTTTATATGTCCACAGTTTTGTTCAGCATTTGAAGTTAGTACAAATATATTTTGGGTCAAATTATAAAAGTAATGTGCTCATAATGCACATATTGTATTATGATGTACGTACACGAATACCCCGATATTAGTCGTTAATTGGGCTCGACAAAATGCGATGCAAATCAAAACAACGCAAATCGAATCACATTTCTCCACATCTATAATTTCCAAAACTGTTCTGGTTTTTGACCACTTGTTGATGGAGAATTGAATGCCGACAGAACTTTTTTCTGAATTAACATTTACCTCAATGGCATTCTTCTTAGATTCTGATTTTTTAATCAAATGGATAGAAGGGAATCAATTTTTACAATTAATAGACTTCTAGTATTTGTAATTTGTTTGACCTGCGAATGTGTGACAGCTTTTCTATAGTCCTTTATCCTTATTAGTATTTCAACTAAACTATAGTCTTGGCGTTCTTTATGCTAGTTCAGTTCTTACGGTCTTTGCGTCTATACTCCAGTCAATGTTCATGTTGAGTCTTTTTTCGAGTTAGTACAACTGGGTATTTTTACTCTTTGATAGCTGGGAGATATCTGCAGGTTCCTACCCTTCACACTGACTAATTTATGTATTTCTCAAAAGCTTCGTAATTATTCGATCACTGATCTAAGATCTGCGTACCGCCTCTAGTAGCTAGATACTATTCTGAGATTGGATAGTGCTAAGTAAAGTAGCCTGTCGGTTTTCGCGAATAGCTTTAAGACTTTGTCCCCTATGTATTTTTTGATCGAGCCTATTCTAAGGTCTCTTAGATTCCAGTCAATGATCCGAAGTTATTCACAAATCAGTCCAGGTGTGGCGTAGAGAAAGTCTCATCTACATCCGGAATTTCAAAGTACAATTTATATAATAGTAATGAATTGCTTAATGTACATGTCTAGTGATTTTCTTAGCAAACTAACATCACTTTTATTCAATGGGGGGTCTTAAAAAGTTTATAGAACCAATCCTTCAGTTTTATATACATACAAATAATTTAAAACTAATTCCAACGAATTTATTTCTTAATCATTCTTTTACATCTAAATTTTACGAAATCAAACAATTTCTTTTTTTTACAATTTAGTTAGTTTCTTTCTTTATATAAAAATATATTGTACTTTCTTTATACAGCTCAATGCTTTTTATTTTGTATAATAAATGATATATGTGTAATAAATGAAAGTTATTGGGCTTTAAATCTGCAGAGTTTATTTATATATACATAATGAAATGAAAATGATTTAAAAATTTTAAATAAAATGACTAACAAAAAACTTTAAACCTATGCTCATAAATTTTTTAAATACTTTTCGAGGTAATTCTATTGAATTAAATCAAATACATTATACAATAATTATAGGAAATCATTATAAAATGATCAATATAATCACACTCTTCTATTTTAATATTCGATCAATTACTCTAAAAAAAAAAAAAAAAAGAGGATGCAGTATGAAGTATATAGTATATTGCTTTTGGCAAGCATGCAAACTGTTAAGATTTTACGTCTTGAAGAACTTATAGTTCTCAACAATATTTATTCAGGAATTAATTCAGACAGTCTTTCTAAATTAAACACTCTTTTTTTAAATATTTTTAATTCTTAATTTATGTTTAAGACAACGTAAAAAATACCTTAATGGGTATTGCATTGGCAATGGTTAAATTAGCAATATGTAGAGCTCTACAGTAGGGCTATCCAAACCAGATGCGGTCGCAGGCCAATACAAATCACTATATAGATTGGGGAGCCGCAGAAACAAATACATACGTTCTTAGTTCTTTTTGACAAAAATAAAAATACGGTTATAATGTGGACCTGGACCTTCCTTGAGGACCTGGACCAGTTACAGGATCGGGCTTTAAATAGCATTTTATGCTTCGCAAAAGGTTCTAGGTGGTTTTAAACCCTGAGGTTTTTATTATTTATATACGGCATCACAATGGGCCAATAGGATCCACTAGGGATCACCGGTATAACCTAACCTAACCTAATGGTAAATTTAGTTTTATAAATTAATCAATTTAAATTCATTTATTTGGTATACCATAAAACTAAAATAATGTAGTTTTACCAGTACACCAAAAGAAAAGAAAATTTGTGTAATTATAGTAGATTAAAAACATGACGTTTGACATGTTTGTGGCCCGCGGGCCCTGTTTTGGACAGCCCTGCTCTACAGCATGAAATCCTAAGGTCTCAACTCGAATAAATAGAATTTTTTAATAGAATTTTTTTAATAGTTTAATATGTTTAACACGTAAATGTTTAATTAGAGTAGATAATGAATTAATTATGTTTTGCTCTTGATATTATCCTTATATTTCGCATGAATTGATTTAATATGATTATGTATACTGTGTATTTAGTTTTAGTTGTATATTATTAATTTTTCATAATTAGAGATATATATATTTAATCATATTAAAAGTATATAAAGAAAGTAAATGCTACTTACCACAAGTAAAATTAACTTAGTTTATCCAAGATTTATGTTCTCCTTGGAGATAAATTTTTTTTGTACGTTCGGTTGAGGAGGAGTGCACAGTGATGCTTCCAGCTGTTGAAATTTATATTGAAGGCACGTAAAACAAAGTAAAATATATTAAATAAAATATTTTAAAATATTATATTTTTTCTGCATATCAAAAGAAGAGCATAAAAATAATGGGAAATCAAAAAATTAATAAATTTTATTTAAAAAAAAAAAAAAAATAAATAAATATTAAATAGGCACGAATCATTCGAACTGTTTTGTGTGAATTTCGCCTTTTTAATTTTCACATTTGTTAGTGCACACGCGAACCGCTAGTAAATAAAAACAGCACCGAATGTGCACCGACCGAATGGAAGCATTGAATTTACAGTAACACGAATGTAACTCCAGATACAGATACAAATAACAACAACAAAAAATAGTAAGTAAAATTAATAATAATTATCGTATAAGCGTATCAGAGAATATAGATCAGTGGATCAATGGCATGACAGCGCAACAATAGTGCGCCATGTAAACAGTCAGACATGTTTACTGGCATATGGACAACCGAAAGGTAGATAAAAAATAGTTAGATAGACATATAATCACGATAGGCGCATCACTGCTAGAATACTAATAGAAAAAGTAAATAAAATAGCGAAAACACTGTCGATGTTGGACAAGTGAACAAGTGAAAAACGTCGTTAGCGACGCCGGTGATGGGGTCGGTACACCAACTCAACTGGAGCCAGCTATTTAGACAAGATACATACCGAGTATCATACCAAGATACAAGATACACTCAGTTAAATAGAAGGCATAAGCTGCAGCTGCTGAAAAGATGGCCAACAAAGAAAGCTAAACAGAGTTGGTGAGCGGTTGTATGCGCAGCATAGGCAACAAGCGATCATGCGCGCATGCGCCGCACGCCAAGTCATTTTAAATTACCAAAAATTGAATGAACGCGCTTAAACGAAATGAAAGAAGTTAAGTGAATACAATAAAAAGAGTAGAAGCTGCATAAGCGAGTAAGCCAACTGCTATTAAAACGTGAAGTCAGCCTCATCTATGCACGCTTCAAGCTGTCTAACAAATATAAAGAGACTGCCTAGCACGAGCTGCTGCGATAATAACACCAAAAATAACTGCAATAAAACTGCAATAAAATTATTTTTAAATACAGCAATAAAGTAAAATGTGCCTTAAAAGTGTGATAGCATCCACAACATTAGCAAAATCACGGTCCACTTTTAGAAATCACACTGTTAGACTGTTCTAAAGCTCTTTTAAGCTTTCTATTATTAAATAGTTTCAGTTTCAGTGTTTCTTATAAATAAAGAATTCGTCCCCATCATTTTATTCCAAGTAATAAAGAGGTTTTTCGACCATACAGCTGTTTCGAGTATTTCCAAATACCCATCATCAATGCTCTTGGAAAAATTTTTTTGGAGACTGCAAGTTCCAGGAATCGAACTCGTATCCTGTCAAATTTAAAGCTCAATATAAATTTAAAAGACAAAATTATATTCATCAGATGAAATATATTTAAAAGATAAATCAATTATAAAGCGGTTTCCACTTATATGAAAGAAATAAATAGCAGAGGTTAACCTCCGAACCTACCACTGAATTTTAACAGATTTTTTTTTACAGAATTTTTCTTCCTAATATTATTAATAATTTCAAAAGAAAAACAGAAGCATCACGGGAATCCTAACAGGGCACTGTAAACTAAAATGCCACCTTACAAGACTGGCTATACTTACGGGTGCGAACTGTAGATTCTATGAAGAGAATGCGAAGTCGGCCACACATGTGCTGTTAGAATGCCCTGCGCTAATGCACATACGGAATAGGCTCCTAGGAATGTATATTCTTACGGAAGAGGCAATAAAACTATGTAAAGCAAGTTCTATACTACTTTTTAATGACACAACAGCGCTTAGAGACTTACTCTCAACCCAAAAGGGGGCACAATAGACCCGACGGTCGCAGTGCCACATCCCCTAACAATAATAATAATTGTTAATAATTTGAAATCTCATTTTAATTAATAGTTAGCTCATTTAAATGTTTATACCTATGCATGCTTTAGCTATTAATTCCTTTTTATTGTGTACTTCTAGATATAACAAATATTAATCTAACTATAACTTAATAAATTATTTTTTCAAATCAAAATATAAGTAAAATGTTGTTTAGATATATTATATGATTATACGCATCCGTAAAAACTTATTGAAATATGTACTAAGAAAAACTATATATGAGATAATAAAATGAAACATTTTATAAATATAAAAAGTTGCTGCAAATCTTCAAAGGGAGGGGAATACCTCTACTCATTTTCATTTTTATTTGTTCGTCTGCTCTCTCGAGTTAAGAAAACCAATTTTATGATGAAAAATTAGAAAGCATAAAATTGAATTAAAATATATATCACGCAGGTCTACTCAGAAACGTACACTCACTGCTGTAAAATATGTGTACGTGAGCATGTGCACTGGTAAGAAGTATGGTTCTTTAGGTAATTTTCACATTTTGATGAATGAAACTTTGTAAGATTGTGAGATACTCTAACGGATGTTAACAGCCACTGCCGTGGGGGAACGATAAAAGAGTGTGACGTGGAGTTTAAAAGTAAAGTAAGCCTATTAAATGTTGGATTTAGTTGGTCATAAGGAAAATATAGAAAAGGTGTAATGATACAATAAATAAGTAAAATTAAACGCTCATTGCGGTAAAATAAACGGTTCATAGCCCGGCCTGTAACTAAAAAAATTAATTACGAGTCTTAGTAATAATATTTTTTTCGTTAATATTTTCATTAAGTAAACAAGTGAGTAGCCATAAATTACTACTCACTTGTAGTAAATATAGATTTAATTCGTTATTATAATATAAAAATCATGCATTGCATTTTGAAACTATTTTTTTTTTATTGGATTGTTTATCGATAATAGAATCTACAATATAACATACTAAAAATATACTATTATATTATTTTTACACCATTACCAGCAAATTTAAAAAGTTGACATCTCACTAACGAGAATTATTTTTGATTTTATTTTTGAAATTCATTTTTACTGAATTTAAATTAGACTTGAATGGATTTACTCTAAGTAAGACATTTTACTATTCATTCATTAATAAATATTTAAAAAAAGCACTATAATGTTGATTGAAACAATAAAACATAATAAAAACAGATTAGTAATGATTTAAAAGAAATTATTGCTTTGCTGTAGTTTATTAGAAAAAAGTGAAAAAGATGACGTTTCGAATTCGTTGAAATGCAGTTTAGATAAAATTTAATAATTCAAAAAATAAACTTGCTAATCTAATGTCGAAAGCGGAAAAAGGTTTTCTAATTTGAATGTGAAACAGAATTACGAGATAATATATTTAATTCTGAACCTATCGACTATATAACGATAATGTGTGTCAATATGTAACATCTATATTTGGTAAAATAATGTTAAGAATTAATGAAAAATGCTATTTTTTAATTATTATTTTTCAAATCTATAATGTACTACATTCAAACTAAATACTAAACAAATTCATACAAACACAAAATTTAATTTGTCTGTCTCAAAAACTGAAAAATTAGTTTACATTAGAACAAGTCAATAAGGAATCTATTCGTTAGTAAAAAATATGCACTTCATAAGGTCTCAAGTGTTATGATTATGTTTAGTGTTAAGAAATGGAGGTTCAAATACTCATAAAAAAAGTTCAACATCGTACATGATACCTATAAATCTGCATGGCGCTTTTACTTCACCTCACAGAATATACTATATATACTATAGTATATATAGTATATGTTAACGATAAATAAGCGGCAGCAACAACAATGCCAAACACGCGCAAATTATAATTTGCTGACAGTGCGTCTACCACAGCGTGAGAACGCTACATTCAACATTCACGTGGCAGTGCAACGCGATCACCCAAAAATTTCAGCTACAAACTAACATTGCAAAATTATTAATGTCAGTTCTAATTATTGCCTTAAATAAAGAAGTAGCATAGCTACGAAAAAAAAGTTATTAAAATTTATTTTTTTTTATAAAAGAAATAGGCAAAGAACAAATTGGCGCCCAACGTAGTTAAATTTTGTTGAACAAATTAATAAAAATTATCCAATATAACAGTGGAAGTAATTTTGTTGAACAAATTAATAAAAATTATCCAATATAAAAGTGGAAATAATTTTGTTGAATAAATTAATAAAAAAATTATCCAATATAAAAGTGGAAATAATTTTGTTAAATAAATTAATAAAAAATTATCCAATATAAAAGTGGAAATAATTTAAAATTATTCAGTATAAAAGTGAAAATAACTTTGTGGAAACAATAAGTGGATTTAAAAATATGAAAAAATTCGATATAATCGAACATATTCAGAAAAGTCCAACGAAATTCTAAATTGAAAGTAACTTTGTGGAAACAATAAGTGGATTTAAAAATATAAAAAATTCGATATAATCGATCATATTCAGAAAATCCCAATAAAATTTCTCAAAATATTAAAACTCCAGTGTACATGTGAAGAAAGAGGCTCCTAAGTAGCTTAATTGCAAAAAGGGGATACATGTAGTATCAGCCGCTTCATCACACTAAGAAACATAAAGTGAATTAAAATAATTTAAAATAAAGAAATTTAAAGTGAATTGAAATAATATATTAAAATTTTTTAAATAATAAAATAGTAAACAAACAATTTAAAATAATTTAAAATAAAGAAATTTTAAGTTAATTGAAGTAATATATTAAAATTTTAAATAATAAAATAGTAAACAAACAATTTAAAATAATTTAAAATAAAGAAATTTAAAGTGAATTGAAATAATATATTAAAATTTTAAATAATAAAATAGTAAACAAGCAATTTAAAATAATTTAAAATAAAGAAATTTAAAGTGAATTAAAACAATATATTAAAATTTTTAAAAAAAATTTTTTTAGAAAAATAAAATAGTAAACAAACAATTTGTAACAATTTAAAATAAAGAACTTTAAAGTGAATTAAAATAAAAGATTAAAACTTTTAA